TCAGAAGAGAAGGGAGGAAAATTCTAATAGTAAGTGTAATTGGACAGAGGAACCAATTACCTTAGTGGAGATGTCTAAGAAGACCTTGACAACCTTTGGATTTGGATTTCTGAACTGAACTCGAGGGTTGAATTAGACAGTCTAAAAACGTCTTCCAATTCTATAATTCTGCATAGTTTTTCTTTAGATCACATTCAAAGTTACCATTTGATAGTAACTTGTACAGTTTTCTAGAATCACACCTAAGGGTTCCAAGTGCTACATGCAGCTTCAAGGCCTCAGGTTTCAAGCAGATATCTTTCCAGCATAATTAAGGATGACAAGGGTGGAAACTATCATGCAAAGCAGGTAATTTCTCCATTCCTGGCATTCCACTTAGTATTCTTTTTTTAAAGTTAATACTGAAATTAATTATCAGTTAACACAGTGGCCAAAGCAAATATTTTTACAGATTTTTTAAATATGGAGAGAATGGAGTCAAATGCAGTTCTCAAGGGGTTGCAATATATAACTGAATGCAGCCCAGCAAATGTTCTCTCATGTGCTTGATGGATTGTCATCTTCAAAAAAATATTTCACACAGATCTTAATTGCCAGTCACATTCATAATGGCAGAATCCATTATGATTGTATGTATTATAAAAATTATGGATTTTATGGTCTTATATTTACAACTATTTTAGAGAGTGAATTATTATGAGTAGAAACCTGATAAAATGGATAAAAGCAAATATCGTGCAGAAAGACAATGAGAACCAATTGTGATTTTTTTTAAAAAAAAAATGTGGTCTCCACAGAGGTCTGAAAACTGAGAAAGAAATGTTCTGATAAATAGAGATGGTGTCAAATAGAATAACAGCAATCAGAAATTCAGTTTGCTGTGAAAAATTGATGCCATTTGGAATGATCCAGGATAAGTTGCAAGGAAAATAGCAGAGGTTCTTGTAGTAAAGATGACTCTCAATACTTTAAAACAAAATTCCTGTCACATCATTTCTAGATTCCTGGCAAACTGCTAACCAAGTCATTGACCAGAAGACAAGTGAGAGAGACAGTGAACAAACTGTCAATATCTGGAATACTCTACCTGACTCTGTGGTTTCTTCCCTAACCCCCAAAACTTTAGCCTTAGACTGTCTACTATTGAGCTCACCCCTTTCCTAAGAGGTCTGTAGGGGGCGTGCATAAGCACACCAACATGCCTATTGTCCCTGTCCTATTGTTTCTTTTTTTGTTTCTTTTTTTCTTATTCATATCCATTTCATGTTTATACTTATACCTGTTATCTAATAATCACTTGACAAAATAAAATAAAAATTAAAAATTAAATAAACTGGAGTACAATGGCATTTGTCAAGGCTAGAAATTGAAACCTCTCCATATTTGGGAACTGACTCACAGCAAAAGAAGCCACCTAGGTATAGCTGAACAATAGCATGGCTCCCTTTCTGTCTTTTCTTTAAAAAAAAACTTTTTGTGTAAGACTTCTTTTTCTTTTCTTTTTTTTCCTTTCCCAGTTCAATTTTCTTTTTCCCATTATCCATTTCCATTCAGTTGTTCTTTCCTTTTTCTTCCTTTTTCTTCTTTCTATTCAATTTTTATCATTAAAAAATGTGTTGAAGACAAAAATCAATTAAATAAAATTATATCTCTCTTCCCCAAGTACATATTTTGATACTTCACTGTTGGACTCCGAAGTCAGATACAGGGCTTTGAAAGTTACTATCAGTATTTTAAATTGTGTTCTGTAAGCAGCTGGCAACAATACAGAATTTTTAGTGCAAACATCACTTTGACAAGTTAATATCACAATTACATTGTGTCAGTTGCAAATTCTGGATACATATAAACAAATCAATGGTATCCCACATAGAAACATTTAACAACTGAGCTGCAATTGTTCCCCACATATAAAAAGCTGGCTTTCTGGTAAGTTTTTAATTTACAGACTTGGGGTTAATAAAAATCTGCCCTCATCCACTGACTGAACTGTCTTCATTATGTTTCATTGTAATTATACCAAACCTAAAAGATAGGAATAGGTTGAAAGCAAGTTATTGCAAGGCAAACCTCTTGTCTGAGTATGGATTTAAAGCAGGCTCATATTTGACACTAATGACATAACAGTTCTAAGGATGTAAGAAATCTAAATTATAAATCACTGTGTCAACTCACTGATCAGCATTCCTAAAGGTTTTGCAAGATTAAAACTCTGAAGGGAGGGTTGCATATTAGGAACAGGAACACATCTAAACACTTTTTCTTATCATACTGTCTGAAACCTAGGAAGTAATAAGACTAAGATTTCATGAAAAGTCCAAAACAATCCACCACTGGATTATTATAGCTGTCCAGAAACAATGCAATACTGATTATCACAAAAAACAAAGAGGTAGTTAATCAAGCACAAATAGATTTCTTCTCTGCATAACTCTCTTGTTCCAGCCTAACACCCTCACAACATAAACATGGAGAATTCAGAAGTTAAGATTGGAGAATCTTTAGACAAGGAGTGTTTGTGGATTCTCTCCACCCACATAAACAGGTATCTGTAGGCCAGGCTTGTTAGGGAACATACCACACATGCTTCAGGTTAAGACTCTATACAACCCAATCTTGTTCCATGAAGTATGTTGGTGGGTGCATTCCTTTTGACAAGCAAAGGTAGCTTAAGTTGTAAATTATGCCAGCTCATTTGAAAAATATTATTTCATCAGAAGGGTGTAACTTCCGCAACATATTTCACACACATTTTTCTGATACAGGCAGACGCCAAATTTAGACTAGATGAACGATAGTTTTCTGAACCTAATATGAATCACAAGAGGGATAACATTCAGAAAAAAAAGTGTTGTTGAAGAAGGAAAAAAAATGTAGGTCCCAAAATAGTTCGTTTATATACAGTTAGAACACATTGTTTTGTTTCAATTATGTCATGCACCCATCAATATATGAAAGTTGATATTGCATATTCAAATACAGGACATGTTAGGCATTAATTTAATGGTTAACAGCCATATTTAGGCTTTAAGGCTTCCATAAATGAATAAAATCGTTGAGCAGTTAATAAAAGATCTATCTTCCCACAGGATCCATTAGTCCTGCTCCTTCTTCATGATTCTTTGCTTGTTCATCTGGTATTTGGAACATGAATTATGATGAAACCAAGTACAGTTATACCTAGGTACTCAATTGCTTTGAAAATCATCAAATTTTGTACTCAATGAATTTTGTCACAAACATTTTGTTTCGATACTCATAATTTATTTGGTAGTCAATACACAAGCTAGAACTTGTTGGTGTCAGTTACTTTGTGACTCACCATATTATTCCTTATGGGGGGGGGGAATGAACTCGTGCCTCCCAAAGCCAATTAATGATGAATACCAAGGTACTAACTTACTCTATGTGAAAATCTCAAGTTGCTTCCATTTTGGTTCATTCTTGGAATCATCTCAAAATAATGGCTATTTGATTCTGATGGTGCATACCTTAGCCTGAGAAGCATTATAATTAATACAATTGTAATATATTTTATATATTTGATTTACATTCTACTATATCTTTCCACTCCATCATGTATTCAAGGCAACTAATAAACATTAACATTTTTACTCTTATCAAGACTGGTCACAATTTTCAGTGTGCTCTTTGGCCTGAAGGTGACACTGGAAGAAGCCATGCTCCATATATCAGATAAAACAGTAGGAGCATTCTTTAAAAAGTCCTCTCTTGCATTAATGATCACACAGGCTTGTAAGAGGAAAGGTGCACTTCAAATAGTTTAGATTTTTAAAGTTAACAGCAATTTCATAAATTATGTTTGATAAACAATTGCCAATCACTGCAGCCCTTTCATTATAAGCATTGTATATTACAAAAGGGTATAATCTTAACTGGTATTATTGTATCAACTGCAGCTTCTGGTTAATCCAGGAATTGTTTTCTGAAGGTTGTTTGACAAATAATACAAACATTGCTCTGTTGCTTGGTATAAATCTGTTTATGAAAACAACATTTTTCTTCATGTAGGCAATTATCATTGTTAGTCATGAGTTACATAACACTCAAACATAACCATGTATTTTAACATCAAAGGAAATTTTAGTTATGATTTCATTAAATCTCACTTGTTTTGAAGACCATGTATAGGCCATTTGGGTCAAAGTAGGAGCTTCATGCATTTCTCCTCCCTTCCATTACTTTGGATGTAATTACATCAGCTTAATTTCTCACTGAAACATCCTGTGTCACATCAAAACAATAATGGTAAACAATTAATCATATTTTTCCCTCTTCCTCTATTGCTTGGTAGCAGAGAAACAGCATTTGTCCCATCCTCCATTTTCCCCCTTTTCTTTCAGGTTTTATACTCTTTCCTTTGCTCCAATGATCTCATTCTTAAAAGATGACTTGGTTCTCAAATTCCTTTTAGGCCTTTATCTGCCTTGTGTTCTACCCTGCCTGGAGAAGGTTAGGAGTCCCATATCTGCTTTTATGTTAGCCCCTAATAAATGAGTCAAGAAAACTGCAGTGATGTGAAGTCATCAGGAGTGAAGTATGACCATAAGGAACATTTAAACTGATAGATGAAAAATTAAGATCAGAACCTCTATATGTCTTGATTCAAATGATTATTAGAGGTCCAAGATAAATCCAAGTATCATAAGATTTTAGCTTCCCTTGGAAATTCAGCTGGTTATATGTAAGAGGATAGCATAGATAGAATTAAGTGGTGAATTCAAACTAATAATATTGAAAATGCTGTTATTTCCAATGGGTTTTTTATTTAAAGCACCACAGTATATATGCAACTAATGTTTAATAAACTTTCACAAAAAACTTTTTTATTTACATATTAAAATATGATGATTCATATATTTAAGATTAATATGAGGCTCAAAAGTTGGATGTTTTGATTCAGAACTGTTTACATGCAGTTTGTCTTTTAATGACATTTGTGTTACATCTCATACCTAAGCCAAGAACAAGTTGGGCCATGTTAAAGAAAACTCCTGCACTAGAAAGTCACATGTATGGGCCTGTCACAATCCAGACTTCAAAATAAGGTGCCTGCATCTGTTTGAAAAGCTGATCCATTATTTTTCATGTACATTTTTGAATAGTAGATAAAAAGATGTGACATTCATGTGGAGGTGATTTAAATGCTTGTGTTTTGTACACAAGATTATCTACAGCTGAATTGGTCATTTTGATTAATAAGACGATGAAAGAAAAGTTTAATTTAAACTAATATTAACCCCACCCAATCAATGATAGGGATCTGCATTAAATATGCACTCATATATCACTTGTTGAATCAGGAACTCTTGAAAATGAGCATCAAGCATAAATGTGTTTAATCAAGTCTTAGGGTGTTCCCCACAAAACAATCTCTCACCAATTTAAATAATAGGAATGAACACTATTTATAACATGAAGGAAGGCAAAATTCTTTATAACTAGCTTCTGTAATTCTTTAATCCAGAAATGTAGAAGCCTACTTACAAAGTGAAATTATACTATGGTTAGAAATAGCTAGCATTGGTCATAGCATCCATTTATTTAAACCCCAACTTCATCATGAAGGAACTTCCATCTGAAATTGCAGAGAGTTCTTACAAACTAGTTCATGTATAGGGCTGAATAAACCAAAGACTTCATCTGTTGTAGAAGAAATTTCTAGGTTACTTGTAGTCTATATATTTTTTCCAATTCAATTAAATCTTCCAGACTTAAATGCAACTCAATTTGTATGCAACTGAACAAATTCATTTATAATTTGTCATTTCTATAAAGATTTCATGATATGAATGATGAGATTGTTTCAATGATGTAATCTTCCATGTATTATATTTTGGAAATAATGCAAATCTCTCCTTAAAATTAGTCCATTGAGTTTTCACCATAGTAATGTTGTCCCCTACCTATTGAAAAATACCTTACAATTTCCTCTCTTATTAATTTACATTATTACATTTGCTGTAGGGATCTTGATCAACAGCATATAGTATTGTACAAATAAATTGCTGGAATAGCTTAAAAATTCCTTCAGAATATCATAAATCTAATAGTCTTAATTTAATTGATATAATTATCAGATAATCATTGTCATTGTTCCTTCAAAGGGAATGTATCCATCTATATACATAACTGAGGAGGGAGAATTACTGGAAAAAATATAAACTTTATGGCCATATCCTAAGGCGGTGGTCCCCAAGCCCCAAGCCAAGGCCCAATATCGGGCCGTGGCCTATTTGAAACTGAAAGGAATGAGCATGCGCACAAAGCTTCATTTGTGCGAGTGGAAGGGGCGCCCACCCAAATAACACACACTGTCAAGACACATTTTAAAATGTTTGGAAATTCATAAAAATCACAATTTTTTTAAAAGAAAGATTTGAAGAACACATATCACAGGCTTATGATTTTGCTTCTACTCTATATCAAAATCTTAGATTTCAGAGTTGTGGTACTGCTGTTGTTCTTGAATGAGGTTTTGTTCTGCAGTTCAGTTGCACAATACCTAATATTTAATCCCAGTCTTTTAATATACCTGCCACTGTTTTCATAGGAAAAGGAAGGACTAAGCTACAAAGCTTTATATTACTGAGATTTTTGTAGTCTATAACCCCTGATATATTTGTATTTCATTTTTACAAGAAGATAGCTTTACTAGTTAGAAGCCCAACCTTTTTCCATACAAAAGTTTATTACTCAATCTTTTAGAAGCGTGCACTCATACATTCCATTCTAAATAGCTGTGTGATTTTAAATTTGAATACAGTGATAATCAATTCACATAAAATAGGTGTGGCAAACTAAATCAACTTTATTTCTAGCATCTATGTGTTATTAATTTTTAATTTAGAATGTGAAGCCAATTTACAAATGAATTGTCAATTTCTTCATTTTTCACATTTATATGCAATGTATTCTTTATTCATTCATTAAATAGACACTGAATGATCTACATATACGAGCCAAATAAGTACTGCTGGTTTCAGTGAGCAAGGTTACATTAGGCCCAGTCATTTAAAAAGAAACCAACATACTACTATTGCAGCTCAATATTGACTAAAGATTTCTATCCATACTGTTATTGTCATGATATAAGTCTGTACAATATTTCAAAAGTTCATGGTTTGCCCCATGCAATTAACACTAACATTTTAGATTTCCCCCTTTGACTAAACATATCTATCACATACAATCATATATTTACATATCACAATAGTCAAATCTTTGCACATATATACACAAAGGCATCCTATACAGGTGGATTGGAAAATTTCTTTGTTGATGGGAAGTGTACTGTATAATAAATGGCAGAATTAATTGAATGATTTTTTAAAATCAATGTTAATCTACCCCTCAATGCTCACATGCTATACACAATCTTGAAAGGTATAATGTAACCTTCGATTTCTCCATTTGGATGAAAAAATATAGAAGAATATATTAAATAAGTATATTAACCAAAACTGAACATACAATTTTTGCGTTGAGTCAGCTATTAAGTTTACTCCTTCAATAGGCCAAGCTTCTTTAAAGCTTCCTTTCTGTTCTCTTCTGTGGCCCCTTTAGGGGTGATTTTTACACTAACACATGCTGGCCTAGGAAGCTTGGAGGGGTGCTGAAGTGGGTAAGATCGTCGGTCATGACTTTTGTCCCACTCAACATTATGTTGTTTGTTTTCCTTCAGATCAACAAAGTCTTTCCCTGTGCCAAGAGATGCTGGGCGCATCCGGTTATTCCTGAGAAAATTTGGAGTGATCTTGCTGAGAAAAGATCTTTTATTCTTAAAGTTCTCTCCCTCGCTTTCAGAAGTGATGCAACTACTCAGACCTACACCAGATCGTTCCAGTGTGTTAGATTTGAAATTTGCCTGTTTGATCCTTGAGATGCTAATCTCAGTTGGTTGGACTTCTTTGACATCAGTTTGGTCAGACTGCTGGACAGATTTCTTATGAAGAGTAATGTCATCCATGTTTACATTCTCCCTACTGCCAGTGTAGGGCATTTCTCTTGCTTTTGAGTAAATAGAAGTTTTGATCACTTGGTCATCTGGATTCTTTTCATTATCCAAAGGGAGTCCCAGTTTCTCAAGAGCCTCCCTCCTTGCCCTCCCTTGTTCTTTTTGGAGGGCATAGGTTTTATCCATGGAAAAGTCACCAGTTGCAGCTCTAGGCCTCCCACTGAATGGCAATGATACTTTTATCTTATGTGTTGGATCTATATTAAGTGATGCAACATTACTTTTGCTGGTTTTGAGAATAATATTTGGGGGCAATTTTCTAGGTTTCGGGGCAGTAGGAGGGCCTTGCTTGAAACTAGAATCCAACTGAGATTCTTCCAGTATATGTTTATGATCAATTTCTTGATGATTAACAATTTGCTCAGAACTTTTCTTGTTACATTTAGGAGAGACAGATTTCAGAAAGTATTTATTTCCAGCTGCTGTCTCCATCATCTCTGGTGGAAATTCTTGCTGGACAGCTCTTGCTTCATATTCTTCCGTTACACCTTGGTTCCTCTTACTTTCATAATGAGATGTTGCCCCATTTTCAGCATGTTTCCAAGAATCAGTAAGTATTGATTCATGCTGCATTACGATATGGCTCTTCCTCTGGTCTTGGAATGGTTCAGGAGGTGGAATTACTACTGATTCCAACTCAGAGATTCTTCCCTGAGTACCTATCTCAGGCACTTCTTTCAGTACGTCCAAAGTCCCATGCTTAGAAGAGTCCCATAAAGTTGGATGTAATGGAGGAAGAGTTTTTAGTTCATCAGCATTAGTTTCTGATGCTTCAGCAACAAAAATCTTGCAAGTCTGAACAGTACTTTTTGCCATGATATCTTTTGGAAGGCTGTGGTGGCCTGGACTTAAGATGGCAGCAGGTATTGAACCAGAAAGAGAGGTGTTGCCTTTTGGATCAATTTGTTTATGTTTTCCAAGACAGTCAGTATCCAGTTCTACAAAATAAAAAATAGAGGTAGGAGAAAGACAAGGTAAACAATAATATATTCTATTTTTTTTAGCAACAAACAATAGGAAAGAAAGTTATCAATAGAGGAAATATAAGCCAAGAAGGAATAGAACCAAATATTCATTTAGATTTTGCACAGTTATTACATTAATTTGATAAACTTTGGATGAAATAATAAACCATGAATATGAATACATTATCCAAGAGTTTGCACATTTCCTCCAAGAGCTGAGAGAAACTATAAAAATGCTGGTTTTCTATCGCAATTTCAAGTGCTTGTATTGTTCAGTCATAGAATACCACCTTTTATGAAGAAAGATAAGTTCAAAGTACAACTGTATAAAAAAAACTTATTGAAAATTTTCCAGGCATATATTGACTATATTTAAAAAATTAGAACTAGATCTGAGACTCAACAGGTTAGACATTTTTAATGAAAAGCTAAAGAATGTTACTTTCCTTATTTTGATGATGTGAATTTTGACTAAAAACATCTATTTCCTGAAACTTAATTTCTTACATGTTAAATCAACATATAATTTCATCTCAAAGCATTGTATTTTAATGTTATCAAACCTAAAACATATCTGTACTATATTAAAGCTTTTTCCGATAGTTTGGATGGCAGAATAACATCAACTATTTTGTGACCTTAAGTAGAGGTGGTATTCAGCAGGTTCTGACCAGTTCTGGAGAACTGGTAGCGGAAATTTTGAGTAGTTTGGAGAACCAGCAAATACTACTAATCTCTGACTGGAGATTTTACATGCCCACCAAACCACACCCATATAACCGGTAGTAAAAAAATTTGAATCCCACCACTCACCTTAAAGCATGCTTATACAAACAGGAATTTAAATCTGTGTCTTGTTTCTTCAAAATTCAGTCAAGAATTACTGTTCAGCTGAAATAGCCCCATTACAAATCACTTATATAACAGTTCACAAACTTACCTTTGGGGACATCTCTTGTAGGCCATGTCCTTGGAAGTTTAGAAGGTTCAACAGCTTCTGCATCATCAGGAGAAAGTCCATTGTCTGCTTCAGCATCTAAAGAATGCAAGGTTTCCTCAAGAAACATAAGGCATTCTTTTTCTTCAACTGTTAGATAATCAAAGCCACTGTTACTCTTTGAGACAAAAACAAAGAACAAAAAACTCCTGAGTAAAGGAGAAGTCATAAAAGCTTGCTCTTAAGAACTAGAATTTCATCTCCATTTCTTATCTTCCATTCAAACTTATCAATCAATTCCTGGGAAATATTAACCAATCTTTCTAACCAAGGTCAATAAAATTCTAACTTTTTGTCAAAACAGGGCATACATTTGCTTGTTTTGTTTTCTGCACCCATCATTGCTGACAATAGTTCAATCGGACAACTATAAATTAATTGAAATAAAACAATTAAATGTCAGTTGTGGTTTGATCCAGATAGGCTCAGTTCCTTACTTGAAACTGAAATTTGATCTAAGTCAACAATAAAACATAAAAACCACATATATAAAAAGCTTATAAATTGCACCAACAGATACAATAGAACACATATTTCTAACAATCATTCCTCAACAGTTGGAATATTAATTTTCCAATTTCTCAGTATAATTCTTTTAGCTACTACTCTACCTCATGATCTGTACAGCCATAATTCTTGTTAATTACTCAGATTCCCAAGTTTTGGAATACAGTTCACTACCTTATTAACATTTTTAACATTTAAGAATTTAAAGGTTTTCCTTTATATATATATAAAGTTGCTGCTTGCAGTGGCACGAAGCCGAAAGCACCAGCCTGAGGATGGCGAGTGGGACCTCCCCAAAACATCGCCAAGATACTCTTAATCTTACA